TTAACTGAATTTTTCATAATTTGCTATTAGTACTGACGACACCGCTGAAGTTGCTGCTGCTGAATATTTTATAAGGCATGATGTTAGGTCTCAATTTGGATGACTGCCAAGTCTAAATCTCTCACCTTGATGTTGTAGCCCAGCTCCAGTCTCAGTTTTTTCAGGTGCCTAAGGCTATCTCCCTCTCAATGTCCCATTATTAACACAAATTCAACAAGTGCAAACTCAAATGTAATATTTCAGTCCTCAAATTCTTCCTGCCAACTTCCTTCTTTTTGCGAACAAGACCTAGTTGCCCAGACTCCAACTTTCAACTGCAATCAAACCCTACTATTGATAGGGTTTCCTATCAGGCATTGCACTGTTAAGAGCTTAGCCAATATGTATTTCTGCCTGTTTTTTGAAAGCAGAGGCTGCACCCCCATGACCCTCCCGGCATACTCTTTGAGTAAGTGTTCTGTCTCAAGGGGCTAGCCCTAACAATGCCCACTCCACCACCCTTAGCCTCACTCCAAAACCTTGTGAAATACCTACGAGCATTATCATTACTTTGAGATAGAGAAGCTGTGGCTTATTGAGGTTAATAATCTATTTAAGGTCACTTTGTAATTTACTTAAGGTGACTGGGACAGCAGGACTCAGACCTGAGATTGCAATCATCCTAAGCTTAAAACTTTCAACTGCTTTGTCATGTTGTCTGAGATTTGACTCTGACTCCTTCCCCTGTGCCTGATCATGAAGACTTTGTCCCTAAAATGTCCCATACAACTGGCCTCTCCTTTCCATTTCAATGCCAACGCATAGTTTAGCCTCTCATTACCTTTCACTTGTTATAAGTGGTCTTTCTGCTCTCTACTGACAGATTCATCTCGAGTCACTTCACACATACCATTAGCAGAATGAAAAGTCTTTGATGACTACCCATGGTCCGAGTGTCCTTTTCTTGCCCACATTCAGGTTACCATCCATGAACCCTTCCAATCTTAGTTCTGACAACTTATCTTCATGAACACTGTTTTACTCAGTCGAGAATTCTTCCGTTACTCTAAACTTCTTTCTCTGTCTGTTGAAATTCTACTTAACACCTTTATAGTCTAGATAAATGCTGCTTCCTTAATGAGGCCTTCCCTGATTCTCTTAATCAGATAAAGATATTCTGGACCTTTTTATTTTCTTTTTCTTTTTCTTTTTTTTTTTTTTTTATGAAAACGTATTCTAGCCTATACTGTGGTCACTTGTGTACTCATCACCCTTACAGTATCCTAGTTCCATTAGGATTAAACTGTGTTACTAGCATCTTTGTAGTTGGTAGTTACTGAGCACAGTGCGCTCAATGAACACGATTTTTGTTTGAAAAGTTAAGATGCATTAAATTTTATTGTTAGATGCTGTCAGGATATGTAGTCCATGTCTTCAAGATGTTTTCAATCTAGTAAGGGCAATAAAACTATTATTAAAAAATTAACTAGAGAATATCATGAGCTCAAATATGAGACTGATAGAGAGAACAGGAGGGAAGGAATGGATGGAGACGGTCAGAGAAGATGTGAGGCCAGCGTTTAATGCTGAAAAGTAAAGAAAGTTGCTAAAAGTGGAAGAGAAAAGCATAACTGAAGGCAGAGATGGACATGGCAGGGCTAGGAAGAAGGATGGAACTTTAGGAACAACCGTTGAGAAGGAAGAACAGCAAAAAAATTCAAGGTGTTTCTAAGTAAAACAATTCCCTCAAATTTATGGTGTCATTTTTTTTTAAAGTTTAATTTTTAGCATGTATATATAACTGACGTAACATTGTGTAAGTTTAAGGTAAACAACATGTTGATTTGATACATTTATATATTGCAATATGCTTACCATCACGCATTAGCTAACATATCCATCAGGTAAACAACATGTTGATTTGATACATTTATATATTGCAATATGCTTACCACCACGGCATTAGCTAACATATCCATCAAAATTTTCTATCACAAGGCTTTTGTGATAACCAGCATTCTTCCAAGTTAGTCACAATTAGTGAGTTTTTACTGTATATTCTTGTACTACTATATAATTGCTAGAACTCACTATTGACAATCCGAATTACAGTACACGGCCATATGCTGGCAAACTGCTTCCTTTTTGCTTTTTAACAGCCACCATGTTTTCAGGTCTGATTCCTAACACAGCCTGGGACAGATGGTAAGAGGATCTCATGGATGAGATTTTACAACTCTAAACAAAAAGTCATTTTTATAATGAATTTGCTACATACGAAATAATTTTCTTCATTCTGATTGATTCATGCTATTGTTCTGAGAGGAGAGATGCTCACAAATGTGTAATGGAAATACAAAGTATATTTACGTACTGTATGTACAATATAATCCAGATTCTAAACCGGCCTATGGAGATTGACAGATATTAGTTGTGATAAATTATTACATAGACATTTTCTCACTAAGACACTAACAACAACAGCAACAACAACAAAACCTGAAAACTGACTAGTTCATTTTAAAAAGCGATCTTAAAAGCCAGAATAAGCAGAAGGAAAGGAACTGAAAAAGAATACTTTCTTTCTTTCTTTCTTTTTTTATTTTACTACATATTGTTTTGGGGAAAAGTAAGACATCAATACATTTTGAAACTATAAAGCACTGACTGTTTTCCCACTTGTTGAATTCTTTTTGGTGTGACTCACACGTCACATTTTCCTTAGGACTGTAGTATTGCTAATTTTCTCCATATGTGTATGATTTGTCTTTGACCTTTAACAAATGTCTTCTAGAAGGTCCACTTACTATCCAAGAACAATACCACAGCATCATTTTACACACACACAAAGGGCTGAAAGCTCCATAAAAATAAATGATCCATGGTACAAGCTACATTAACTAACAGAATAATAAGCTATTTCAACCCTGTAAATTTTAGTGCCATCCATTTAAAATTGTACTAGGTCACTTTAGTACTAAATTCATAGAAACAAAATAGTAAATACACATGTTTTATTTGTTAAGCTGCTAGCTGTATGTTTTGTGTAAAAATTTGTTAGCCTAGGAAAATCTATTCAAAGGCACATCAGGCAGTGTATATTTAAAAACTGTCTCTTTCCAGTACGTGATTTTATGTGTTACAGATACATTTACTATTAAGCATCATGTATATTTAATATCACAGCATTTACTTCAGTGCCTGAAAAAGCCTTTGTTCATTTTATAGTTTCCATTATTGAAGAGTCAACATTCAGTTCTCTCACAATTTTGTAAAGTGCAGGCAACCCACAAGAGCTTCTAGTTTTAGCTTGAAGCCCTGTGGGACCACGATAATTGTTATGAAATCATTAATTCTACCTCAGCAGTTTCAACTGTCAGGTACATGTAACAATAATTGCAGTTAATGAATGCTGCTCAATTTATTAAGTACAAAATGAAAGCCAGTCTTCTTTTATATGCTGCAGCACTGAGACATATTAACATTTACCATTTGTGTATACCATGTGGAATATTCTACTGTTATTTATTGATCAGGGTGCAGAGCCATATTTAAAAAACAACTTTTCTTCATTAAAAAACTGCAGGAAATTCGAACTCTCTAATTAAAATAATTAGCACCAAAAATAATATTTAATAAGAATCTATGTCTATGAACAAAAAATGCAACAGAATTAAGACAACTCCTTCTTGGAATAAACAAGAGTCTTCCTTGTGCTACCCTCCTCTACCCCAATCTTTACAAGAGTATGAAAGAGTCCAAAAATTTTCAGTAGTTTGAAATATTAATGTTTTTCCTTCTCAAATTTTTGGGTTGTAAGACTTTCGTGTACACAGAGACAGCCTATTTCTTGATCTAAAAAAGTAAGTACTAGATTTCTTATTTTCAATCATTCAAAGTAAACAGCATAGACATTTGCAAGAGCAAAGAGTGAAGAATTTCTGAAAACATAAGAGGAAAAGGTATCACTTTTAGGATTCCAGAGGCATCTACTTCCGATAAGTATGCTCTGCCGATTTAGTTGTCCAATGTGAACAATCACAATTAGCTTATATCGTGGAATCATCAAGTCTTTGATCTGGGCTTTAATAACCTAAAGATTGAAAGGAAAAATAAGAGGCTCTCATGTAGCCATATTGAAACATAAGAGTCTTACTCTTTGTCATACATAATAGTGGATTTAATTTTAAGAAAATAGCTTGATGCATTGTAGAAACTTTCATTGTCGTAGAACCATAACTGATTTCCTTCAAGAACTGTTGTCATGAGATAGACATTTCAAGACAAAATGATAGTGCCAGCAATAAATCTACATTTTCTAAAGCACATGGAAAAACTGTAATTTAATGGATTTATTAAATTCTTTGAAAATTTATGGCAAGATGGCTTTCCTTCAAAGAATGTTGGCATTAGAGTTATACCATGTTGTTCGTGTCTCATTAAGGGACCATACATCTGGAGTCTCCTGCAATATGACTAATCATGAATGTTTATTAAAGACTTTGTCAGAAAAAAGAAAGTAGAGAAAACCCGATGGAGTGCCAGCACTTTAGTTGGTAAAAATAAAAATGTATTTAAAGGCCACAATGTCTCTATTTGCTGGCAGTCGAAGCTGCCCAGGGGAAGAGAAAATGACCATTAAAACATTGTATCTTTTACAATATATTTTTTAAATAAATGGGGCAGTTTTACACGTTTTTTAAAACAAATACATGCAAATAATGCACATAATAATTGTTTAGACAAAGGCTCTTTATACACACAATAGGGCCTAATAAATATTTTAATAAAATAAAATATAAATAAACATTTTTACTACTACTGAAAACTAGCTGTCTTCAAAAGTAGGGGTTTGTGCTTTCAGCAAATATTCTTGTTACAGTTAACACTTCGGGCAAATCACACATTACCTCAGAAATTGTTTTTGTCATCTGTCTACAGAGCTCTGGTTCATATAGTTCTTCTTGCAGATAGTTAGTTAACACATCTTTCAGAATGTGATTGACAATGACCACAGGAAAATGTTTGGTGGGACCTGAAAATACAGACAAAATTTCTTTCTAAAAAGTAATTTCAAGTCTTATCCGCCCACCCTATAGGCTAACCAAGAGTACTGGAACATGGAGAGACATTTAATCTCCAGGGTGGCCTCTATTTAAGGATAAAAGCCATCCTAATTCAGTTCTCTGGCAAAGGGTGAGAAGACAATGGACTCATTCTTTAACCAGACTACCTAAAGAGTATGCTCAATTCCACTGAGGTTTGACATTGAAAGTATCCTCCTTCCTAGTTCCCACTATTAATGACTTACTTCAGAGTCTCGACTTCTTTCCAACTGCCCCCCAGCTCTTATATCTCCCCCTCCAATCTATGTACCACACTACTGGAGGGATTGCTCTAAAACCTAGATCTTACTGCAATATTTCCCTTAGCAAGGCTTAGCATTAAGCTCCTACCCAACCTATAGCTTCTCTCACCCTCACAGCTCTCTATACAGGGGCTGCTCCAATTCATGGACTTCATCTGTCTTTTAAAGGATGCCTGTCCATTTGCTCATGCTGTTCTTTTTAAATGGAATACCTTTCACACCTTGTTCATCTGAGAAATAACTACTCATGTTTCAAGGCCAGCTCAAATATTTTCTGTAGGTAGCCTTCCTCCTCTCCTCGGGTAAAAACCATCCTTCTCTTCTCTGTACTTCCAATGCACTGGGACCCCATGGCTATCCTGGCTCCTAAGCCATCTAACAGCTAAGACATATCTGCCTTTCTCCCCAGTGAAATGTTATGCTAGATCAGATTTTATCCTCTACAGAGTCTAATACAATGTTAAAGGCATGAGAAATATTCACTATATGATTTCTAAATTTAAATTGAATTAAATATTTATAGATGATAATCATAGTACTGATCATGGTTACTTTTTGAGCATTTTTTACAAATCAGGAACCGTGATAAGAATTTTATATTCATTACTTTATATAATCTTTCAGTGAATCTCTGGGGTGAATCTTACCATTATCTTCATTTCTCAGATAGGAAAACAGAGGTTTAAATACATTGAGTAACTTGCCCAGGATCACACAGTGGCAGAGCTGGAATGTACTCCCAGGTTTATCTGACTGGAGAGCTTATATTTTTAACTGCATTTAGCCTATGTTCAGATCAGAAGCTTTAGATGGATCTTCTTTATCCTGTACCCCAGGAATCTTACCTGTACCTCCCAGGAATATTAACCTCATCATCTGTCTGTCATCATTCAACAAGAGCATGTAACCAGGGCCTGGAGTATAGAGGCTCAATCATTATTTTCTGAATTGATATGGATAAAGAAATGAGATCAAAAATCACATCCAATTCTATTTTAATAGTCATCAGTATCTTTTAAGTATTTATTTTTAATGACTGTATCTGTCAAGGTCTAAGGAACCACAAGGTACACTAAAGTTAGGACAATTCCAGGAGGATTTAATAAAGTGTCTCCTTAGGGAAGTCTGAGCAGGATGTAGGAAATAACAAACGAAACTACCTCTTGGCTAGTGAAATCGAGGGTGTTACCCCCAGGCTTGAGAGATCTGAGAAGTGAACTCTTACTAGATCCCAGATGAGGCATGTGAAGAGGGCTGCCTTGAGAGAAGTTTATGTCCTTTTGTTATGGATGCAAACAGCCTGAAATGAACCCACAGACAGGGTGGGATGGAGGGGGGAAGGGGTGGATATAAATATCCAGCTCATACTCTTCCCTCCCTCTGACTTCTTGCCAAAGTTTCCCATTGGCTGAACTTAACCAGAAGGTTGAAGCCCATGCCTATAATAGAGTTAGGTCAGCCTCATGAGGCTCAATAAATAGTATTTATGTTTTGATGATTATATAGGAATTGTTCAATTAAATTGAAATCAGTATGGGGAATGCATCTGGACATGTAAAATGGAGACATCTGATACGATAAGTATGATGATTAACCTCAATATTTAGTCAGCAAGAATCTCTGCTCTATAGGACAGAGACAAGCAGTTATAAACCTGTGAAAGGTTGGTCTTAATTCCTCCTGCTTTAGGCGGTCAGAGATAGGACACCAGCCTCTTTAGGTAAGCTCCCAGGTACATATAGGCCTTGCTGTCACCTTCCTATGGATCTTTTAGAAGATTTCCACTTGCATACTCCAGGGAAATGAAGTGAAAATGAAGGGTGATTTCCCTTTCTATTTAAAAAGTTTAAAAACTACCAGCTTGGACTAAATTAAACAGATTATGTCCTTTAGATCAATACTTCTCTCTTTCACTCCCTTCTACCAAGCATTCATGTCACACATAACTTACTTGACTTAATTGCTCACGTGGAACTAAATTTAGCCATGTATTTTGGTGACTATGCATTGCTCCCTTTAGAAAATCGTGAATTTCTTCAGTGCAGGTATTTGTCTACCTACTATGCCTCCCTGTCATTTGGGACCAGCATCTCCCCTTCTCGGGAGCGGCCCTCTTCTTATACCAACCATGTGGTTCTTTAGGGTCCACCATCATTTCCTTTGAGCCCGTGTCTAGGTTATGGTTGACTGGCCCAGGTGTAGCACTTGCTCTAAGTGAGGCCAATTAGAGTCCTTTCTTGGAATTTTTATTTTTAAACTAGAACTAGGGGGAAAAAAAAGTCAGGCTCTTTTGGGTGGCAAGTGCTATGATATGTGACCCTCAGGAATTCTGGAGTCCATGTTTTTCACAGTGGGAAGGGTTCCAGGCCACTGTGAGAGAAAGAGCTCGCACACAGTTTAGTGCTGGAAAGACAGAATCCTGGTGGCACTTGCGTCTATGTTTCCAGCAGCTCTTGGTGTCTAGCTGTACCAAAATGTCCTTTCTGCAATTTGCTTAGCTTTTTACAATCCCATTAACCAGATTCTATTCTGGAAATATTTTAAAGTATAGTAATGGACTTTTCTCTCTCACTTCTTTGTGACCTTTCCCCTGTATGGCCAGAATTATCCTTGCTCAGGTGGGGATGTTGAGATGCACGGAGATAAAGAGACAATGTTCAGCTTTTGACTTCCAAAATAAGCTCTGGAGGCTACTTTCAGAGTCTACTAATGTGAATGCCAAAGATTTTTTTCTCCTCCCTCCCTTCCTTTCTCTCTTTAGAGCAAACTTTTTAATTAGAAGAAAAAAAATGTTTTTAGAAATCAAAGACCTGAAAGTCAGGATGAATCAGAAAGAAAAACTTGTTCTTAAAAATAGATTTAAGAGAGAAAACATAAAAATTTGGTTATTTAATATATCTGTATTTCTGCTTCTCCAAATGGGATATTAATAAGAATGACCACATATTGTTTTTTGTTAGGATTAAATGAGGTGAACTATTTAAAATATTTAGAACAGCGTCTGCCACATATATAAACCCCCTCACCTCCCATTAGATATATATTGCTGCTGTTGTTGCTACCTCATTCTGAGGGAAGAGATGGGGATTGCTCTTGCTGAGAAGGCAGGAAGTCCAGCAAGGGTGTAAGTAGAGAGGTAATGAGGCCTCCGCAGTGGTGAAGGATCTTATGGGGTAAAGTGAAGTCAGAGCTGAGGGACTGAAAGACTCCGTCCAAAAAAGTGTCTGATGACAGGGCCAGATCATCTCATGGAAGCTGAACTCAAATGATGTCTCTTTCTCTTCCTATCTTAAAACTCTACTTTATATTATGCTGCCTTCATTCTCAGCAGGCTGTCTCAATGTGGCAGCATAGATGACCACCAGGAGCTCTTGTCTGACTTGGTGCTCACGATTCATGTTTTTAAAGAAACAGGGACCTCTTTAATCATCGCTCCAGAAAAATTCTCATGGAGAACTCATTCCATAAGTAATAGGAAATTATATTGGATGTCATAGAAAGCTTAGTGACCTAAGGTGAAATTTTAGTCACTCACTTTAAGAAGCAATAACATAATAAATGAAGAAGCAATTTAAATACATTACTTCAATTAATTCTCACAGTATCCCTGTGATGTGTGGACTACTATCCCTAATTGCAGATAAAGAAACTGAGATTCAAGGATGCTGAATACCTTTCTGAAATATCATTTATCTAGGATTTGGCAAAACTAGTATTCAAATTTAGATACATTCAGTCCTACAGCCTGTATTTTTTCCTACGTGCATATTTCAGTAATTAATTAATGAGCAAATGTAAATGGTACAAGAAATATACTTCATTTTTCCATTCTTTTTTTCATTAATTATATTTCATCTCATTCTTGGTAGCTGCAATTACACAGATAAAAGGAGGACAAACATGCTAAACATTTAAGCTGTGTTTAGATGATGCAAGTATTGTTGGATAGAATGTGAAAAATTAAACACAGTAATGCTGGTGATTGATCGATTTCACCCCCCCCACCCCCACCCCATCGCCCTAATCTTCTGGTCAGCATTGCATTTTATAGATATGAGAAAATCTTTACCAAAGGCCCAGAATAGTTTTCAGATGCAAAATAAACCCAGAAACAAATAGAAATGAAAATATGGTTTTGATTATTAACAAGAATGCCTAAAAAAAGGATTGTCAAGCATGAAAGACTTTAATCGTAAAAGAATAATTCACAAGATTTTTTTGTAATAAAATATGGAAAACACTTTATCTATACTGAGGTATTTCTAAAATTATTTTTCTAAGTAGTTTTAATACCCAATACTTCTAAAACTCATAAGATGATTTAGTTCGTTGATTTGAGGAAATGTTATGAAAATATACTCTTATGAAGGAGAAGCACAGGTCTTCATATTTCAACTCCTTTATTTTGTTGAAATCTGATTCAAACCCTTTCAGCATGCAGAGTCCAAAGTGGCTAAGATCTTTTAGTTATAAGTGAGTGAAAACCTGACCCAAACTTAGCTTGTCTAATCGAAAAGTCTAAGAGTACTTTGGATTCAAGACTCAAATGCTGACATTAGGATTTAGTTCTCTCTCCATCTCAGCCTTCATGTGAGGGCACTATGGCAAAAGCTGCCATAGCTCCTACATTCTTTCAGGTTTCAGGGCCTGATCTGCTTCTTCGACAGCCCAAACAACAATTTCTGAATTGAATATCAAGGCTTTGATTTGCTTGACCAATCAAAGGGTTCTATGCCATCCCAGAATCAGTTCCTGTTACATCTCTGAGGCTAGCAGCAGCTTCAGCAGAATGTTATGGACCCAAACTGGTAATGGTGGCAGTGGTGGGGCTTCCCCAAAGGCAACTAGGTAAGGTTACCAGAAGTATAAACGTGTATTGGATGGCAGGAATATTAGTTGTCTACCACAGCACTGTGAAAATACCAGTAGACCGACTAATTATGGAGCTGTGTAATTCATGTAGTCTTGGGGAATACTGTAGAAGACTGGCTACAAAGCCCAATGGGATGTGTGAACGGTCTATAATTTTCTTGAGGTTAACTGGCACAGATGGAACCACTCTGGCCCATAGAGTCTTCCTTTGGTCATTGGTAAGTCTCTGTGGAATTTCTATATAGCTGTAATTATATATAGATTCAGATAATAGTGGGCAGGTACACATTTAGAGAAAACAAGTAGGTCTATGAGGAAACGTGAATGGGAAAATATATTCACTGGGGATTCCACCTGGGAGTATAGGGGCAGGTGCAAAGATCTTTGTTTTCAAATATTTAAAACCTCAGTGTGAGGGGATAAACATCTCTGTCAACAGGGGACTAGAAATCATTTGCCTTTGCCTTGAAGGCTTTTTCTCCACCTATCAACAGTGCTGGTTGGTTTTGTTGGATAAAACTTTAATGCATATCTCTTTCATTAACTCAGTATATATAAAATAACTCCACAAGATAACCCCCAAAATATTCAATGAACTTCTTAATTCAGTAATACACAGTGCATATCAGTGCCACCCAGTGAATTGCATGGTATTTAGGAAACACTGATAAAGAAAAATGGGCAATGAGTGTTGTTCCCATTTTGCAGAGGAAGAAATTAAAGCAGCATCAAGTTACTCAATTAATTAAGATTCTGTATATTGTACTACTAATGAAGATAATGCCAGGCTATCAGATATCATTTTAAGTAAATATCATTCACAAAATTAGAAATTTAAAATAGGAGTGAGGACATAACACACCCAGCTGATAGGTGTTTTCCATCTGAACCGTAAGGCGAGAGGCATCATCACGCAGACTAGGTTCATCCATGTAAGACACAGTATTCACACGGCTAAAAGCAAGAGAGAAAACAAATTTCAATAGTTGTTACAACAATAATAACAAAACAATGTTGCGTGAGCAAAAATATTACAAAGGTAAATTTTCCTCTAAGAAAATTTCACACAAGTCCCATGTAAATATTCCGTCGACATATTTAAAGTCGAACCGTTTGAAAGATGAAAACATTAAGGTGTAAGAAATTACTTGGATCAGGTCTCAATGTAGGGGTTGAAGACCAGTGCAGTGCCGGGGTGTCTGATTATCATGAAAGTGTTCCTGGGTTGTTCTGTCTGCGGGGTGACAGACAGAATGCATGTTTCAAAAGCCATTGCCAATCACGTCTCTACCACAGATGCGAAGGCTCTCATCAGAGTGGACAAAGCTCAGAAAAGTGGCAGTGGGTGTGGGGGAGTGCTATATGAGAAAGTTGAGAAATAACTTTATATATACATAGGGGGTTATCAAGAATTCATTATTATATGTACCTCATAAATCATTTTAGCAGAAAAAAAGAAAACCAAAAATTCATCTACATGGTGAGAGAAACCACAATTCTCCCAAAGTATCGTAAATCGGTAGCATCAATCACCCTTTTCAACATTAAGAAAGGGTTTTGGCTTGGTTACCAAGGCAATATAAGCTTGTCCAGGTGCTTAACAGGATACTCAAGCCAAGGGGAGACCCTAAAGTTCCTTTAGCACTACTCAGTTCAATTTAATTAAGAGGAAATTCAACTGTCACTAAAGGCAGTCTCACAATGCTCCACCCCCAATTCTCTCCACCTGGAAAATGGAGGTTAAGCCAGATGTCATTTCAAAGGAAATGATATAATAGTGTGTATGTGCGTTTTCGTTTTCAGAGTGACCACTGTTATAAGCAGGCTATGTTTTTGCTTTCATTAAATGAGAAAGAGATATCTGTCTTTAATCTTTTGGGATTTTTTTTTTCTCTGCAAGGAGTTTAAAATACTTAGTTCTCAGCTGTTTGGAATTAGTGAGCTTCTTGCAAAGTGATATTTTAAGAAAATCACATCGTCTATTTTTTTAAAATCCTTTAATACAATACAATTTACACAAAAAGTTAAGGCTTACCCACCCAGCCCAAGGTGAAGCAAAAAATTATGACTGCTTTTTCACGATGGATTTCTGGATTAGTGATTTAGCCTTCATTCTTGTAACACCTGTTTCCCTCAATTTTCTGCTGCCCTTTGAAGTAGCAACCAACCTGCTGGGCCACATAGGCTGCAGGTGTTGTGGGCATTACCAAAGAGGAAAGTCTCTGCTTAGAAAACCCAACGTTGCATAAGCCCCTTGATTCTAAGATAAGCTACCCTGACCCAATATAATAAATGCTACTTTTAACTCTGCAAAACATTTTCTCTCAATGATCTCATCTTACTTTCGCAATACCCTTTTAAGTAAGTAAAAGAGTCATTATTCTAGCCATTTCAGAGATACAGGGAATGAAGCAAAGGGCTTACTGTCACACACATGGAAAAGGTAGACTTAGATTTCAAATATCTTACTTACTTCTCAGTGACAAAGTCTTACATATGTTCATATCTAAAAGAATGAAAATAAGGCAATGGCTACCTGAAAAGATTAATTACTGCAATTAAAACTTGCTTGCATAAACATAAGAAGGTATTAATAAAAACTTTCCTACTGAACAACATATTAAAAACTGATAGAGGAGTTCAAAAGTCTAAGACAAAAAAGTAAATAAGGACTTTTACAAACAGTCCTTGCTATTGTTTTGTTATTGTCATGTTACTTAAAAATTGAGATTCAGTGCAGTTTATAATGTTATCAGTATGAAGTTGTTGTCACAAGGGCAGCTTAAAAACCCCATTGGCTGAAAATTGGTGTGGAAATAGAAAGTTTTATAGAGTGACTTTTTGAATTACTGAAGATGATTTTTATTTTCACAGTAATCATGTAAGCAGTGCTTGCTCATTGTAAAAGTTCAAAACATAGAGGAAGTATGAAAAATCAAGTAAAATTACACAAAAAATGACTGACCCTAGTAGTTACCTGATCATTGTGAACATTAAAAAAAACACTTTTCAAACACGATTTTACACATGAGATCATATTATAGATGCTGCTTTTTTTTTTTTTCCCCACTCAGAAATATACCATGGATAACTTTCTATGTCCAAAATAATAATCTACATCAATATTTTAAAAATCAAGACAGTATTTAATATATACTGTATTTTATTTAAACAATTATTCTTCAGGCCATGTAGGGTGTTTCCATTAATCCACTATTATAAAGAAAACTGTAACAATCATTGTGGCAGGGACTGCCATTTGCTTTCCAAGGTTGTTCTCTCCTTCTTCCATGGTAACAGAACTCTAAGTTTTTGGGAATATTTCTCTCCAAATTAAAGACAAATTCCTGGTCTCCTTTGGTGCTATCGGGGCCTTGTAGCTTGTGAGCCAATGAGATATCAGTGGAAGTTTTGGGTGGAAATTCTAAGAGAGCGTCCTTAAAAGAACTAATTCCACCAAGGAGAACTTACTCATGCCTCCTTGATGACTGGAATGTGAATAAAATGGCAAGAGTTCAGCAGCTATCTAGGGTCTTGAGAAGATTTTATGGATAACAGATTAGAAAGATAAATGACTAGATCCTCCAGATTTCTTATATAAGAGAAAATATATTTGTATTTTGTTTAAACCACTGTTTTTTTAAAAAAAATTATTATTAAACAAAGCATGAGCTATAATTGGTACAAATTTCTAACTGATACAGAGTTTGCTTCTTGGAAGTGGGATGATATAAGTAATAGAACACAAAACTTGGAGTTAGCTTGATGGAAGGGATAAGGCATCAGGGAGTGAGATTTCAAATATTTTGCTAAAAACCTGGCATCACTTATCATGAAGAAGGAAAATATTTGGTTAGTCTTTTGATTTCTGTACCTTGGAGGGCTGGTCACATATAAACCAAATTTATAACCTCATGAAAATGAGGTTATAGAAATTATAGAAAAATTAATTATAGAAAAATTGTACTTAAAAAAATACCCCTGTCTATAGTAAAATCCTCAGTTTTCAAAACTGAGATCTACTATTTCCAACGCTAGAATGAGAATGGTTGAAAAAAGGGAGAGGAAAGAACAAAGAAGAATAAGGTGAACAGAAAAGAAATAAAATAAACAAAATATTTATTCTTTGAGAAAAGACAAAAGGAAGACAAAATATTTAAAATGCTTGCAATCTGGGCAAGTAACATTACACGAGAATACAAACTTGGTAAATTTTTAGAAATCAAAGAGATCCTATATTTGAAAATGGGGATTACCAATATCAGTTCCAATACGGACTTAGAAAAATTATATACATATTTTCTATTGATAAACAGCTTTACTCATGCTCTTGGAAAATTTTAAAGATAAAAATGTGAGGTACTCAAAGAGAAATTTTATTTTAACTTCCAGTTTTGTATATACAGCACAATGAGTTTATTTGTTATATGTCACAACATTGCAAGTGGATGAATTTCAGTAGTCAATGACTAGACTTGCCCTAGTTTATAATATAACTTTTCTAGATACATGATCTCATTGCACAGAGAATGCAGTAATTGATTTTATTTTTAAATGCGAAAAATGTTCTCTCTGTCCATGTGTTTGTTCATCAGGTTCCTGGCATTTATGGAGAAAAAAATTTCAATTAGCAAAATATGTACAAGAGAGTTGTAAAGTTTTAAGAAGGAAGGTAGATTAAAAATAAAAGCAGGAAAATGGAAAGTTTGGTGTAAACTACTGGTCAAAACAGTTAATTAATGGAATCATATGTCCTATTGCTGAGGACAGTTTTGGAATTAACCTGGATGCAGAAACAGCTGCGTGAAATTGGTCCACAAAAATAAAAGTAACCCTTCTATATTATATCTGACTGACACTGGAAATGTCCCATGCTAACCCAACAGCCTGTGTTCCGATTATGCAGGAAAAAAGCCAAAAAATAAAAAAATAAAAAATAAATAGCTAAGGAGTTGGAATATGTTTATTATTTCTTGAAAACATCTTACAAATTTACTTGCTGACCATTCCTTGAATTACACAGAATAAATACAAGGCACATCTTATTGTTATGACTGGTAGAGATAAAAATAATAATTTCAGTTAAATCTCACCAGCCACAATACCATCTAATTGTCACTGAGAATTCATTTCCAGACATTTTCACTGCCATTATTACTTAGATGTTTTGCAGCTTCAGTAAGAGATAATATTTGAATGCACAACCAGCCTTAGAGCTATTAATTTAGTAGATTAAGAAGGTCAGAATATTATCTCTTTCTTCTATTTGTTACTGTGAAATGCTTGGAACTACCATATTTTAAATGGCATCTTTTAAGCACAACTTCCCCCGCACTCAATCTGTTATTAAAGTCATGTGCTGCCTCCCAGTGGAGATATTTCAAAGGACATAGAGAAAAAGAAGTCTTCAGAGCATAAATTCACACATTATTTTTTGTTTTCTCTTCATTCTTTCAACAAACCTTTGTTGCCCAAGATGCAGCAGGAAAGTGGGAAGTACTGGTAATACAAAGAAAAATTAGAGTCCGTATGCTTGAGAAACAAGATGTAGAAACACAAGATAAAATATGCACAGAAATTCATTTATTTGGGAGCGTACCACGTCAAAACTGCCAGATGTTCTTATTTATGTTATGTTTAAAGGCAAAAGCATACCAACTCTTCTCCGGTCACTAGAAGGTGTACCTTGTCTAGTAATGTAATTTCATTTTGTGGCCATTTAGTTTATAGCACATTTGCCAGAATTTCACTTAGTTTTGAGATTTTTTTAATTCACATAATTGGTCGCATTTTACTAGTAAAAGGAAGGTTATAATAAAAATAAAAGTCAAGATATATTTTCAGACATGAAAGGGAGAGAAAATGACATGATATGTGTTCTTGTAGAATACAGTTTTCAAGAGGAGAAATGATTCAAAGAATGAACCATTCAATTTATGAAAAGTCTAACTCTG